GCATGGGTTCTCAGTAAGAGAAATCGAAGAAATTGAATTTCGTCGATTACAGCGCCATCTATCATGAATCGAGAAAAATGTTTCAGACAAATTGTATGTGTTTTTAGCCAAAGATTCCGAATATGCAATAAAAAATAGGGGTTCCCATTTAAGATTTCAAACTTGCCCCCCTCACCGCCCAGGGGGGGGGGCTAATTTTAACGTCATTGTACGTCCCCCTCGAAATGACGAAATTTTGATTCTAAACATTTTTTCGTAGTGTGCTTATTTTTCGAGTTATTTGGCTGCCTAAGTTAAAATGGGTCACCCTGTATATAACGTATATATATATAAATATACGTTATAGAACGTAATTTTTCGATATCGCATTTAGTATTAAGTATATGTGTCAAAAGCATATTTTAGGGTAGGATGGGATGTTTTGCCTCCCATTCCGTTAAAAATCTAACCCTACCCTACAGAATTACGTTTCAAAATTCTACTCGGTAGAATAACGTTTAATTAACCAATCATGATCAATTTTAATTCTCTTTGTTCTGATTGGTTAATTAAATGCTACTATATCCGTATAAAATTTTGGAAACGTAACATTATGAGAACGTTGGTTGTTAAAAGATATATGTATAAATATGCATAAATATATATCTTTATAGCATAAGATATAGATATAAAATATAGGGGGAGTTGGATTATATTTATTAATTCTTCGCCTTAATAAATTAATATGTATGTGTGAATCTATGAAATAATAAAAATAATAGATATCGAAAAGATTAACAATACTCTTACGCAAAATAGTACATAAATTGGGAATCACAAGAAAAATTAATAAAAAAAACTATAGTACACACATCACAACTATAGTACATACATAAATATAAAAAAACATTAGCAGTAAATATGTTAACGAGTTGATATAGGACTCTATGATATATAATTATTAGAAACCTTAAACCTATTATTAGATTAACCTCTTATTAGAATGCCTTTTTGTAAATATTTTGAAAATAAATTGTAGCGATTTTTGGTTTTCACTATTGTCACTGTTTCCACTATTTTCATTATTTTCTACATTTGAAATATTTTTAAAAATTATTTTCATTTTGCATCACCAAAGTTTGCATAATCTCTCCATAATTGATAAATTATAATTAATTAATTATCCTCTTGGATAATTCTCTCGAATTGGATCAGTCAAAAACTTCAATTCAATTTTTCGGCTTCTCCGACGGCAAACCGATCGACAAAAGTACACGAACGTTTAATTCATTTCAATTCATTTCTTTATTGATATGATCTCTCTGTGGTATATCGAAAAAGAAGAAATAAAAATCAATTATTGTAAACTTTAGCAAAAAGTCAGGCATTTCGTAATCGCAGTCCTAAATATATTAATACACATGTTAAAATAGTCAACCGTAAAGAAATATGTTATAATGGATAATATTACCAAGAGATTGTTGAAATATGATAAACATTAATGATAATCATTTATGATAGTTCACGAATAATCTGTTTCTATCGAACGCAAAAAAGTCAAATTTTCCTAAAGAATCGAATCGAATTTTTCGACTAATCCGATATAATTCACTTCAGGCCATATTGCGACTTACGGTGATCTTCACAATTCTCCCACCCGGCTTAGGAGGTTGCATATAGGATACAACATCGCCTTCGGTTGTGGTGGTCTCGACTTTCCATTCCTTCGACGTTAATAAATCGTGACAATTTTGCAACAACTTGGACGCCTTCGTCTTATAATCGTCTATCTGTAGATAAAATAAAAAAAGGAAAAATAAAAAAACGTTAAAATCTCCATAGAAAATACTGCTTTATTGTATTCTAAAATTTTTGCTCAAGCACCAGAGTTGGTTTTTATTTGCTTGTTTTTTTTTTTATCACTTTATTGTATTCTAAAATTTTTGCTCAAGCACCAGAGTTGGTTTTTATTTGCTTGTTTTTTTTTTTATCACTTTATTGTATTCTAAAATTTTTGCTCAAGCACCAGAGTTGGTTTTTATTTGCTTGTTTTATTTTTGGATCACTTTATTATATTCTTAAAATTTCATTTGAACATCGCTGGTTTTTTTTGTCTGTTTATTTATTTATTTTTTTGCTACTAATGTGATACATGTATGACAGAACGACCTCTTATGAGAGATCAGCGTCACATATATGACAGCAAAAAGTTTTTTTATGTCCTCTGCTATTATCAAGAGAGAGCTAAGCTGATTTTATATAATTATTAAAAATAATGAGGTAGTTTTTAGAGAGTCTTCCAAATAAGCCGTAGTAGCAAACATGTCAAATTGATTAAAAAAAAGATCTTAACAGTCAGATGTTGCATTCGAAGACTCCGTCGTCTCTTTCTGGTTTCTTATTAGGTCTCTTTGTGTCAATTTCGATTACCCGAGTAAATATTTAGGTCTTTCAGGTATTATCCAAGTATCCAAGTATTACCTGAATACTCGCGGGTATATGTATATTTCAAGTGTTACTCGAATATATTAATTTGAGAACTTTTTATTTACTTGAACCAAAAGAAGGCAGTTTTATTTTACGCCCGTACATTTTCTGCAAGTTACTAAAATTAATTTAATTAGTAAAGTTAAGAAAGTTAATAAGAAATATATGAAATAATTTCCAGGTAATAGATTTTTTTACAATAACAAGTAACGAACGAATGCACTGCATATTCGTAGCCATTTACTATCTACTTGCTCGAGTGATACTCGCAAGTGTGGTGTGAAGGTAATATCCGAATATAGAAATGCTCGAATTATATTGACAGTACTACTTTGGAATATTGATTGTGTTTAGCGGAAAAAGTAGTACAATGAGCATTGTACTGTCGACTTTTCGTTGAACGACACTTAGGCCCGATTGCACCGGCGTTATTTTAGCTTTAAACGAGACTTAAATATACGTCTGTCTTTATCTACTTAGAAAGGAAGATAAAGATGGACACATATTTAAGTCTCGCTTCGAGTCAAAATAATGTTGATGCATTCGGGTCTTAGAGGTTAATGCATTTATATAATATATTTACAATGTAGTCCAGCATTGTATTAACCTGTAACAGGTATAGTCAAGCTATAGGTCCGGCGGACCCCAATAAATTTTTGCTATTTTTAACATGATAATAAAAGGTAGAAAGAAAAACGCTTTATAGTTCGAAAATAATACTTTACGAATATTATATTACAACAAGATATGTATAACAGTCTCAGTTTTTCAGTAATCTAAAAGAAAACATTAACTGATAATAAAATGAACACAATGTGGACAGTGTCAAAATAAAATACACTGAAAGACAAATAATCGAAAAAAGAAAAAAATTTATTTTTTAATCTAAGTCCACAAATTATAGATTATATAAAAAATATAAACAAGTATTGTTAAATTAAATACAATATTAAAATCTTAGAAGATTTTTAGATGCAATCGTTACAAATAGTGCTTGCACATTTGACTTCATATTCTTTACTTCTAGGACACTTATTACATTTTACTCTGGATGGTAAAATAATTTTAGATCTTTCAGTTTCTTCAATTTTTAAAATAAATGAAATTATTAAACGCAATGGCTTATGAATATATTGAGTTGTAAGACATCTCTTAAGTTCAGGTTCTAGTAATTGAAAGGCAAGAGCTTTTACTTTACGTAAAGAATGAGTCATATTGAGCTGAAGATTTAAAAAATTACTTTCATAAAAGCAACGTTAACGGTACAGTGGGGTCATTGTGACCCCAGATAAAAAACAAATGTATATAATTCACAGCTGCTTACAAATAACTCCATGATCTTTTCTTCTGTCATACTGAAAACTGTTACTCGAAAGATACTGAAGATATTAGCGCCATACAGTGGATAGTTTAGGAATTATCACGAAAGTAAAATTAGTTGGGGTCCCTGGGACTCCACTGTACGGGTTAAAAGCTATTAAAAGCATGCTGAAAAACATGTTTAGTAGAAAATTTAATAACAGTTACAAAACTGCGCAGCGCACAAAGTGCGAATCAAGCTTCTTTTTTCTGTTGAACAAAAATTATATCGATACAGGAACACGAGTTCTTGATGATGATAACACGATATCGAAAAATATTGTATCCTTGATCTTCGAATGCTGACCCATCATTGCGTTTTATTACAAATTTATCACGTAAACAGTAAAAATTTGATTGTTGGACGAGGAAATGTGTCCGATGGACGCGCTATATATGTTATAGTTTGGTGCAAGTGCACTCTTGATAAGAATATACGGGGTGTCCAATGTTAACTGATACAGCTAAATATTGCGAAAACCATTTGAGATCCAGAAAACTATTTGATCCAGAGAAAATGTTCCAAACAAAATTTATATAATTCTAAGGAAGAAAGGGAACGAGATAATATTTATTTAACTTTAGAATGATTATGTAGAAAAATTATATAGTTCTTTTTTTAAATAAGTCGATTTCTCTAGTCACTCTGCGTATAAAAGTACAAAAGTAAAATCGTCAAAAAGTGGATATTTTCCGAGATATTTTATACTTTATTTACATATTTTCAAGTACAAAATATAAAATATCTCGTACTATTTATTTTTCGACAACTTCACCTTAATAATTTTGTACGTAGTATGATGAAAGAAATCGATCGGTGATAATAATCTTTGCATACTGGTACATCAATGAACCTACAAAATCTACAAAATGCAACAAAATTTTGAGATTTTTTTTGTTTTTCTTACAACAATTGATTTCACCCGTTATTTTATATATAAGAAAATTAAGATGAGTTTGTCAAAAAGTGAATAGTTTACGGGATATTTCATATCTGATATTGAAAAGTATGAGAATAAAATGTAGAATATCTCGGGATTTTCACTTTTCGACGAATTTATTCCAGTACATTTATATGCTGAATAACTGAAAAAATTGATTTATGTTAAGAATTCATTTAAAAAATTAAAGTTAACAGAGAGAAAGAGAGAGAGAGAGAGAGAGAGAGAGAACATTGGCAGAACTTTTAAAGATCAATCTAGTCTATTAAACGTTAGCATCTTTTCTCCACCTCGAAATCCAATGCACAAATTTTGCTCGAAATAGTTTCTCGTATCTTCCTTAATATTTCCAAGATATTCAGCTATAAATGGGACATCCTGTACATAGTGCGAAATAGCAGATAATAGCAGAGCGCGAGATAAAGGAATTACAAACGAGGTCCGTCGGTTTCGACATTTCACTTAATCGGGCGACTTGCACTTCTTCACACGGAGCAGACGGCGTACCTACACAAAAGCACAGATTGCGGGTACAATACGCGGATGGATTACTTCAATTCGTATGATTCGACGTCAATTCTGACATTGAAGAATTAGGAATGATAATAGCCTGTGTGAATTCATTGACGCAAGAATTGTTACTTTTCCTCAATCTGTGCGTTCGCTCGTCCTTAAATTTACACCGGAAACGAATCAACTCACTTTCCCGGACAGCTAAAGGTAATAATAATGATCCGCGAATAAATTAGAACGAATGAACGCGCTAATTAGGCAATTAGAAAACTCACAGCAAACATTCCATTGGTCGTCGGGGAGTCTTTTTCTCGCGGGTACCAATTACTCTCGACCGACTTGTGCGAATATGTATCGCCGAAGAAGAAGCTACGTATGAACTTCATGTCGCACGCACGAAGGATGACTGAGGGCATAATACTCAAGTGCGAAACGAATTAAGGGAAGTAGCTCGTACAGTCCAACGTATAAAGATAACTTACGCAGAACAGACACAACTAAATCTCGATATTTTTTCGAGTTATCCTCGGATCGACAAGAGAAATATATGCATATATAAAGCAGCAATATCGTGGAGGCAAAAATTCAATGTGTTTGTTTTGTTCAACGCGATAGATCTCTAATCGGAGCGAAATAATTAGCCTCCTTGGAGCACAATGATGTATGTCCGTTTGTTTCAGTTAATATATGTATCTCTTAATGCTTCCTGACAATGTAAACATTTCCTCAAACGAAGTGTAACATAAAAAGTTCGTGCAAACGAAGAACTAAGTGCGCGAAGAAAAAATGCGAAAGAAATTGTCAAACGACGAGCCACGCGTTCAGCTATTCAACGTGTAAGAAACGCGATCAACTACTAAAAGTACCGCGTTTCTTCGTCGTGCTTTTATACTCAGCCCCCCGGACTCAATACGCATACGTCAACTAATAGCATCATAATATGAAACGACGGTAAAACAGTTTTTAATAACGTAAACGTGCGAAAGCGGGCTCGAACAACAGAACGCGAAACAATCTGTTTTATCACTTTAAATAAATTTAAACGTTACTTCACTAAGATAATAAAATAATTCGAAAATAAAGATTTGTAAGAATTTGGAAGATAAAATCCGACTGACTAGAGAACTGGCTTTCAACTGACAATTTTATTTATAATCAAAAAGTCTACTTCCGATATTTTCAACTAGTTAAAACTTCGTGCAGGAAGTGTCTCGTGAAATCCGAACAATTAAGTCTAGATACAAATAATATTCTATTTTGCGATGCACATGCAAGATGCATTCGTAACATCTCACCTACCTCGTCGGGCGTGAGTGCCGCTATACACATGAGTACTTCGTGTGGTACACTACTTGTGTCTCCTTGCTTCCTGGAGATATCCTCGTCATTGTCGGAATTATCAGAGTCCATAGGTGTAAAAAATGTACTCATGTGATCGACGGCGCTGTATTGCCGCGATTCGGAAACTGTTTGTATCAGCGGAGATCTCTCTGTTGCCGAATGATCTATAAATTTCATAAATTCGTCAATACTTTTGTCCTCCTTCGCGCTTTCAGATCAACACCTGTTGATTATTGATTCGAGGAACAGTTTCTGAAAGAAACTTACTTCGAAACCAATTTCTCGCTTGAATTTCCTGAGGAATCACGCGGAAATCGAAGAACCAAGCCTCCGCCCATGCAAGTACAAAAGATGTGATAATCAGCAGAACTTGGAATACTGGTTGATTCGTCGATGACCACTGAAAAACACGATGCATCATACACATGGAGATTATATAAGATTCAATAAGATAATATAATATAATATAGATTTAATACGGAAGTATTTAAAGTACTTACGTCGAAAGCAAAAACTTTGCCGATCAAGAAGACACATGTTGCGGCAGTCGATATCTGTAAAATTATTTTATTATATAAATAAATAATTAATATATAATAAAATCATTTATATATATATATATATATATATATATATATATATATATATATATATATAT